CTCCACTTGAACGAGAACTCCCGGCAACAACACAGGCACAACCTAAATGAGGCACTTGTGGCATACCTGCACCAGGAAGCGAGACATTGTCGGACTGGATCGAGAACAAGATGTCTGAAGCGTCAGAGAGATAGTCATCGTCTTCCTCAATCATGTTAAGCAGCTCGGTTACATCCTCCGTGGTCAGCACCACGCGTTCCACTCGTGGAGCATCAGGACTGGCTGTGCTGCCTTGCTGCTGCGCCGTGTGCTGCTCTTGTTCTTTTTTGCGAGCTTCCAACATGTCGAGTTCCGTGTGGACTTCGATCTCATATGTATCTCGTCGAAGACCGTGCAGCAACTGAGCAAGGGCCCATACAAGCAGCAAACCTAGTTGCAGTGATAGAAGCATATCAATCGAAAGGGGCATATACGGCAACACAAGCAACAGAAACACCCTTACGTAGAAGAGCTGTGCTCCCGCTGCCTCCCCTCGCATGGAAAGTAGGGCCACACAAACGTTTGCCCGCAACTCATTGTATGCACATATCAGGCATTACCTGGTGAAACAGACAATACATTTGCGAGTTCTACTAGTATGGATGCTTGCCTGAAGGACTTCGAGCTCCGCGTCCCTTATCTCTTCACGATCAAAGAGATCTATGTTTTTAAACTTCCGGCTGCGGATGCGGTGAGTGGGTGGCGTTAGCCCAGCCCGCCATTCCCACTGCTGCTTGTCGCACAGGTTTCCTAGATCCAGATTATTTACTTGCGGATCGAACACGTACAACATCTGACAAATATCACCTGATCAACGAAGACGAACAAAAGAGAATACGCGCCGGGTACACGAGAGTTACGCGTATGGCAAGCGAATGCTGAACAATGCAGCATTACGAAAACTGAACTAAATTAAGCGAGGAGGCCTCTAACTGAAATAAGTAAGACAACCTTGGTTCGCTAAGAAGAACATCACCGCAGGGTAGCTGGATCAGCTAGTAGAGAGATATAGTGAAACGAATGCTTGATCATGTTGCCTCGTGAAGGCATAGAACACCACCAGAGCACAAGCCCTAACCCCAATTCGTCTCAGATGCGACTTCCATGTAACTCTTAAAACCCACAGAAAAGCGGACCAGCAAGAGCAGAATCAGCGGACAGGCCTATCGCTAGGTATGCAAGAGTATATGATAGCTTCTGCATTCTGACACACCTGACTTGAATAGAATGTCCGAGTCCACCGTCTTGTACGTTTCAATCAAAGTTG